TCTGGTTTGTACTATGAAAGGTATTTGTGTACATATTGATGTTGTCTTCTTGCTCTGGAGTTTAATATGTTGCTGCTGCTTTTATCCACAGCCCTAAGAGCAGCTGCAGCAGCAGTGAAGCATGAGGACGATAGGAGGCTATTCCATAATGCAGCTCTGAGAAAGCGCAGGAAGGAGATAGGGGAGCATAGGGTAAGATTTTATTTGCGTGACTTGCCTACATCCTTCGTAGACCTTTATTTGTTGTTTTCTTCATCTCTGCACATGAATTTGTTTTCATAAATTCAATTGTATTGAAATACCATTCAACCTTCATCATTTTGTTTGGGAAATTTGATACTAGTACTTGTATCCATCTATGTATCTTAGTTGCATATTTTCTGCCTTGAATGAGAATCAGATGGTATAAAGGTGTGTACTACTATTTGAGAATTATCGTCTTTGACCTTCCCAGGAAAATGGAGACATTCCTTCTGAAAATGGCCAAAATAGAGGTGTACAATATCCATTCTCAGTTAATGAGAAAGTGATGATAAAGGTGAGTTCTTGCCATGTCATTGGAATTATGCTACCTTCATTTATTGAAACTCTAAAGGAAAGTTGTCAGTAAGAAATGTTTAATTTTGCAGGGAAATAGAAGGACACCAGATAAATTTGTTGGCAAAGAAGCAGTGATTACATCACAATGCCTTAATGGCTGGTAAGTTGCCTGCTTTATTTTGTGTTCGAATTTTTGAGCCTTTATATCCTATGCTTGCAAAGTGCTTTTTTGTTGCACTGAACATAATCTTTTTGATGGTGCTTTTGGCACTCTCAAGTCCCAAACCTCGTCTTTCTTTCCCTTACATGCAGTATGTTTGTAACTTTTTTTTTTCTTTTTCCTTCCAAATTGCAACATGTGCTTTTGTCAGTCAAGTGTCAATCATTGCCTTTTTTCATATTACGTACAATGATTATGTAAATTTTGCTCGTACCCTTCTAACTGTTTTTTACTTTAAACGTTTGTGAAATACTTTTGCAAAGTTGCAAGTTACCAATGTGTTCATTTCTACCTCCCTTGACGCGAAGGTCTTTGATTTTGAAAATGGCTTCAGATTTATAACTTAGTTTTGGGAAAAGGATGTAATTTTGAGTCTAATGACGAAAGTTGTTAAGGATGGGCATTGACACCTAAATGGTGGAAAATTAAGCAGGTTTAGTGCTCATGGATAAGCATTGGATTGAGTTGACTTTCTAAAAGATATATATTCCATGATTTCTAATCTGTAAACGTGAAGTAACGGAGTAACTCTGTCTCAAGAGTCGCTAATGACAACACAACATACTCGTACGGGTTGAGCACAAAAATAGAATGTCACATGCCTAAAAGTGTGTAGGAATTCATTGTGTTGTGTTTGAGTTGAAGTTGATTCTCGGTCTTCTTGAGATGCTGGAAATTGCACTCAACTTTCGGCTGGGATAGAAAGAAGGGAAAATAACACATTTTGTTAACTTGTAGAGTAACAGTATGCTCTTTTGAAAGATTTATGCAATGGCTTACGGTAATTATTTCAGGTACTTACTTAAGATAATTGAAACTGGTGAAAATGTTCGGCTGCAATATCGTTCTCTACGGAAGATCCAGACTGCCCAGGATGCAGACGATGGAGGCCTGTCCCTTCCTGTGCAGAACAGCAGTTCATAGACTATAGCTATTAGTTCCGACTCCCGATCTGACATTACCAAAATTCATGAAGGGCCTCAACTCAAAGCAGCTGTACGCTTTACCCCTGTAAAAAAGGAAGCTCTATATTTACCGTAAGCTATGGTGCTAGTAGTCTAGATAGTTGTTGGGTAGAAGCTTGTAAAGAAACAACCCCATCATGACCAAGAGGATACAAGGGCACAGCAGTTCCCTGGTCCTTAAGAAAGCAAAAGGTTCTGTGGATCAAATTGTTGCAAAACAACGACTTCGTACTCATATATGAAAGGCACAGATTCTGTTCTTGACCACGTTCCCCCTGTTGAAGAAATATCAAAAGAATTCATGATGCCATTGATAGAAGAACAGTTTCTGCATATATGCGTATTTCGTGGTCCTTCCTTCCGGCGTCGGGATCTTCTCAATGCATCAATGCATGCGGGCTTGGTAGAAATGCCGTCGGGATCTCCTCAGACACCCTTCTTGATCCCTCGTTTGCAGCCAAAATGTTGTTGATCTTCACCATGATTTGGCTTTCGGAGAAGGTAAATAAATTTAAGTAGAAGTCTACTGAAATTTCATTAGAAATGATCCCTTCGAAATTGTGCCTTTAGGACTTTCATCATTAATCTTAATATCCGACAGATTTTTGGTTAACCATGGACCGAACTTTTCATCTTCCATAAAATCTTTTACTAATAGATTTTGTCTATTTTCATTTTTGACGTAAAGATGTTAATCAAATTTTGTCTTTCTTGGTGGGGAAGTGGTTACCTGAACCTAATATTATCCACAGAAACATATTAGATGTTGCTTCAGGTACTAATGATGTTGATATTTTTTTGGTATAGGCCTAGCGAAATATTATCCTAAAAATAAAAAAAAATAAATAATAACAAAACAGACCTAGCGAACCACACGATGAATTTCGATTTTGGACCTCCAAAAATCAACCACATATTTTTACAAATTTAGAAAAAAAAACAAAAGCTACAATAAGGCCACAAATGAGTCTATCATCCATAAAAAGAATTGGTCCCCATTAAAAGCCATGGACGGCGAGGCCGATAAACCATTGGCCGGAGAAGAAGCTTTAAATCCAAAAGTAAAGAATCTTGTTGCTCTACGGGGAAAAATATTTGAACCTTTCACGGGCCACACAATTAACTAACACAAGAAATTGACACACCAATTAACATTTTCGCATGAAATGTGTTACTGTAAATTTGGCTGTGACACGGTCGAAAGTACGTACGAAGGATCTTTTGTCACAGCACACATGAATTGAATCTTGGAGAATGCTTTTCAGTTTCAGCACTACAGTCGGGACTCGGGAGAAGAACAGGAAGCTTTACTTTTTAGTTTAAAAGCGAATTATGACGTTTGCTTTGAGGCCGACGGCAGGGGGCAAAGTCCTGTTTTGTGGTAGTTGATGAGTAGCCAATTATTCCGTAAGTGAAATCTGGTCGCAAATTCGTACCATTGAGTGCTCTCAACGTGTTGCATATGTTTAACCATTTCGGTGCTTGCAGGTTGCTGTTGATTATGGCAGTGGATAATTCAAGCGCGCAACCCCTAATTTGGCTAAACCAAGGGGTTAGCTTCATTAACCTTGGCTCTGTCCCGATTATGTAAATCTTGCACAACACAGTGCAACGTGCATTTGGACAGGAGGTTATTTGAAATATTATTTAAACTCATTATTACAGCGCTTTTTGTAACGTGATATATGTGAGGTAAAAATATGATTAAAAAATATAAAAAAATATATATTTGTGATACAAACAAGTAAATCATTTATTGACAAATACTAACTTTTATCCAAACATATGTATTAATAGGACAGCGACATGATTAGGTTAGATAGCCATACACAGCTGGACACTCATAATCTGTGTTGACACAATGCAAAGAGGTCCGGTCCCGATAGCAAATAGGGGTTTAACCTTGGGTTTTCTTGATGAGAGTTGCAGTTCCAATTAGCATGATAATAATATCAAATTTTAGGTATGTTATACATACATACATATATATATATATATGTAAATACGTTAATGTATAATAGATCATGGACCTTACAAATCTGAAGTTGTCAGGTTCAAATCGGCTGATGTAATTCTTACACCTTTTGGTGTAAAATCATACAAGTCGAATGTAAATTTAAATTTGTTAACTCATACTCCCTCCGTCCCACTTTGATAGTCCTGTTTTCCTTTTTTATCTGTCCCAAATTGCAGTCCACTTTCCAATTGAAGAATGTAGTTGTATTTTCATTTTCCTAAAATACCCTTATTCAATACAAGTTGTTGTTGCTATAAACCTACCCCATTTAATGAGAGTTGATTCTTTTTTTACCATCAATTCAAGTTCCCATAAAGTTGTACTCTATTTAATGTGAGGGTATTTTAGGAAAATAGCAATCTAAATTTACTTTTCCAACAAAATTAACTACTTTTTCTTAAACTGTGTGAAAAAAGAAACAGGACTATCAAAGTGGGACGGAGGGAGTACATAACTAAATCTATATAAAATTTAAAATTGCATCACAACTGTTTTAGTTTATGCTAATGTACTAATATGAAATTACACGAACCAAGTTGATCTTGACAACTTTATAATTTGTGAGGTTTATGTTCTTTAATGTATACGCCAATATTAGTTAGAGCCAGTTTGATGTCTATTAAGTAAAAAAGATAATTAAAAAAAAATGTGTCGAGAAAATATTTCAAAAGCTTTTCCTTAATCTTTTGACTATTTAGGCCAACGATTACTCTCAAATTTTGATATTGAGATTATTCATTTCCAAAATGAGAAAACTTGGTCAACAAATTGGCATGTTTTATTCCCTTTGAGACTGTAGCCTTGAACAGGAGAAGATTAAAAGGTACTTATTTCAACCATTTGTCAAATGATTCAAGTTTAGCATGTTCAAATCCCTTTACAAGTGCATGTTACTTACGACCCCTGTGTAAACTGTAAACAATCGAGAGAGAGAGAGAGGAAGCAATAGCATCATGAACTAATCCACTCGTCTCTCCATTTTTCCAAAAGTACAAAAGAAAGAAAGCAGATGATGGGAAAGCATTGGTCCCTACTTGGAAAAGGGGTCCCCCATCAACGCAACGTATTATCCCCTTGCTGCTCCAAAGCCAAAGGACAAGGAACTGAAGGAAGGAATGAGCGGAGATAGTCAGTCACATACAGTCATTATTCATTACTAATTGCTACTTATCCAAAACCAGTCATCACAAATTACTTGACAAGTATTATTCACTCGCTCACTGTCACACACACACAGTAGCAGAGCAAGAAATGTTTGCGTTTCATTTCACTTTCATCAGCTCAGCACTCCGCCCTCCCTCCTCTCCAAGCTGACACGACGCCCCTGTCTCTCGCCAGCCCCACCAACCTCTCTAGCCCCCACCCCCGGTCACACTCCATTTCCCTTGTCTCTTATTTTTCACAATCCTCATACTACCTTGCATACGTTACACTCCATATATACTGCTATGTCCTGAGAGAGAGGGAAATTCCTCCGCCCTCATTCTTCACTCAAACAAACACACACTCATGGTGAGCATTGTTAAATCCAGCCCCCTGCCCCCCATGCTCTTCCAAACTTGAACCCAAAAAATAAAATAAAATAACCAAAATATTTCCAACCACACTGATTTTTTACTTCTGGGTTCTGTAAAATGTCGGCTATTAGCGCCACCACATGCCCAGCTGACATAGAATCGGCCGACAATTCCGCTGCTGCTGCTGCTGGTAGTAGCACTAGTCTCCGCCGCCACCGCCGACGCCGCCGCCGACGGAGGCCGAGGCCATCCGTAGCTGCCAGCAGCGAGACGACAACTGACGGGAGCTTTCGCTTCTCCGACACCGAGGACGACAGCCGTTCGTTGCATTCGCAGCTTGGTGGGTCGTACGAGGAATGCCGGTTCTCGACAGAGTCGGAGGGTATTTCGGTGCCGAAAAGGCATAGCAGCCGAAGAGGGTCCTCTACAGTTTCCGATGAAGAGGAAGAAGGGATGGTGGATTTGGAGGGTGGTGAATTGGAGCTCAAAGTTCATAGTAATAGAGCCCAGAAAAGAGAGTGTAGGATTTGTCATCTGAAATTCAGTGTTGCCAGGAGTGGTAATGCCGGCGGCGGTGACCAGAGTAATATTATTGAATTGGGATGCAGTTGTAAAGGGGATTTGGGTTCAGCCCATAAGCAATGTGCTGAGACTTGGTTCAAGATGAAGGGCAATACGTAAGTATCAAAATCTGATCTTTAAATTTTGCTTTATTTCTTATCTTTAAAAATCTGATCTTTTTACAGGAATTGCTTAGGTATGTGACTTTTGTTCATCTCTTTTTCATTAATAGTGTAATTTTGCCTGGTGTATTTTGGTTAGTTAATTTTTGGCTCTGTTTTGATGGAGAAATGAATTTTGCTGAGTAAAGTTTGTAACTTGAGACCTGCTTATCCTGCTTAAGCCAAGGTTTGGTGCTTGCCCGAATTCTCCGAGTAAGTCTGTTTTTGGCAATTTGCGTGATTTTTGTTAGCAAGTGCCTTAAAATTAGGGAATTCGGTAAGAAGTTTCTTTGTAAGAGATCTATTTCCCCGAACTCACATTCTGGGAATTTTGCTTTTGTTGATAGTGTTGTTCTGCTTCTAGTGCCAATGAATGCTTTTCATTTTTGTTTAGATATTCATTCTTGTTAAATGTCTAAGATGCTTGCTACTTCGATTTTGCTTACCTTTTATATGCCATATGACTCTTTTATGTTTCTACGGTTATCTCTGAATAATGCCTGCAGAAAAAATGTGTCTCGTGAGATCTGTGGTTGAAGAATGTACTCTAGAATGTGTTGATGGGGGCCCCACATTTTCTGTTTCTTTACTTTTGTTGGAATAAAGAAGAATCCTGTTAGTTTGATATTTAGGGTTCAAAATGTGTTGTTGGTCTATAACTGAAATGGCAAGTTAAATAGGTAGGGAAAGCTTTATGTCTCCTCCTGGATATGTAAAAATGCTTGACTTCAATACCAAGATTGCCAAAAGAATGGAAATTACCTGGTTTGAAGCAGGGAAATTTCACCATTCTCTACAAGCTTCGTAGAGTAATGAGTACATAATCCTTTATCATATTGATGCACATCATTATTTCAGATGGCTGATTGTGGATATAAGTAGCTCCAGAAAATGAAATTTTTACTGGATTCTTTCCATCTTAAACATCGGAGAAGAAGCACTAAATTGGGGTTTATCAGGACCAATGCTACGAGCTTCCGATTCTTTCCATCTTAAACATCAATCGTGTGTTACTTGCATTATTGTTGCTCCTCGTTGGATTTATTGGTGTTTGTCATTGTCCATATTCTTTTGCCATCTTGCTGACATATCAATTTAAATTTGAAAAATGTGTCCATTTCAGTATAGCAGCCAATTATTGATCGACACATACTTTAGCTCCTATTTTGTGTATATAACACAGTTGTTAGACAGCATTTCACCTAACTTTTGGTGATATCATGGATGTTAGGTGGGGCTAGTGTACCTGGGATCCATGACTGTTTACGATATGCTTTTACGCACTTTGTCACCTGATTGCTTGTATGTTTCCTTTTGTTCTCGAAGATTGGGTGATATGCATTATGATTTATCAATTCTCTTTTCTTTTAGATAGATAGATGCTGCTACATATAACTTCAAACTTTTCCCTTTACCAGTAAGCCTTCTTTTTTGACCAGCTTTATTTCATTTGATCTTGTGGTTGTTTATGTGCATGATCAGATTATTTGGTTTTTGGAGATCATCTGATGGCCTGGGTAGCATTCCTCTAATTTGCTTTTTGATGCTTGTTCCCTCTATGAATCACGAAATACTGCTATAGAGCTTGTCTGACAATCTACAGTCAACCTTCTTGTCTATTCAGGAACAAAGAATAAACAGTTGTTGGTCAAATTTTTAGTACTGCTTACTCTCTTTTGGTGTGTAGGAGATGAAAAGTTCATAGGAAGATAATTCTGATTATTAAGAATTAAAAGTTCAAGCCACTCTTTTGCCGCAAGTATAAATATGGGCAGTTGAACATTTATGTGAATGCCGGTTGACGACTCCTTTTGAATGTGAATCTCTTGCCATCCCAATCGAGTACCAACCACTATTCCTCTGCTTCTCAGACCCCTCGACCAAGGCAAATCAACCTCCCTCAAATTCCTCCCTCTCCCCCAATCTCCCTCCATATCCCTCGCCCAGAACAAGTGCTCTGTCAATATCCTGATCACTGGAACAAGCAAGGAGCTTTGACCACATGGTGAAGGGAAATTAGCTTTAGAATTTATGTTGCATTTCCCTTTTATCTTACCAGACCTTTAGGTCCATGCAAGCAAATCCCATACCAAACAAATGGATTCTGTCATCGTCTTTGTATTTATGTTGGCAAGGTAGTTGCTGGAAATGATTTTGGTAAACTTTAAAGAGATTAAGCAGATGAATTTGGCGACATTTCAAGCAGATGATTCTGGCGACATTTCAACTCTGGCCATGCGCCGGCGAGCGGACATAGCTGATAGCAGTTATTTATGAACTTTCTTGAGAAAAGCATCAAGATGGTACAGAGAATGGTCAAACTTTGTAGGCCAGAAACTTCTTTGCTTTTGTGTTTCCAACTCTCTTTTTTTTTTTTTTTTTTTGGGAAATATACGGAGACCAGAACGTATAAAATGCAGAATTTTGACCATTTAGAAAAGCCTTATTTCAGTTGCTTCTGGTGTATCATGTGGACTGACTGCCTGTGCCTCGTGTAAATGTTTATCCAGAACTTGTGAAATTTGCGGCGCCCCTGCAATGAACATTGCTGGAGAACAAGCAACCGAGGTGAACAGTGGCACTGGTATAGCTACTGCAGCATCAACAGCACCTGTGGTCTTCTCCGAGACCCGAGGTTACTGCCATGGCCGTCGTGTCATGAATTTTCTGCTTGGGTGCATGGTTTTTGCCTTTATAATCTCGTGGCTTTTTCACTTTAAAATACTGCCATGAGTCCGGAAGAGCAGCAGCATCTGGATCAGAGAGCACAAGGAGATCTTCGCATGTGTGTGTAATAGGAATAGGCAGTAGAGTTTGCAACAATCACTGGGATTTTATTTATAGTGTGTAAATTATGCCGAGGACTCTGTACCATTTCTTGCTAATTGTTAGATTATCATTTTGTATGCTGCGGGAGATGAGATGATTTGATGTGTTGATTATATGTGACTGATGACTGATGACCGACCCTGGTGGTGCTACGTACGGTACCCTCCCATCTTACTTTTTTTCCTTTTCAGATGCCGTGTTTTTCTTTAGTTGAATTTTCAATCAATATATAAAAGCGATTACAACATATTTATTACAGAAAAAAAAAAGAGGCCTGTTTAAGTTCCAAACAAGCTTAAAAAATTACTCAAAGCAATTAAATAAAAAAAATTACATTCTTAAAAAGTTTGATTCATTTATTTATGCATCAAATAAAATATTTTTGGTCTCTTTACATATATATATGTATGTATTAAAAGGGTTAAATCCATATTCCTCTATTTTGAAACAACACATTATACAAGTTTTAATACTAACGGTACAAGTTATAGGTTAATATTTACATCCGTTGTGTTGTTGTGCACTTTGTATCGTACTATTATTATCAATAAAAGTTGGTGAGATTCTAAAATTGGATTACTGACATCAAGCAAACTCATTTCTCTGCGACAAATGTGAGTATTTGTATAATATATAGTATACATGTGCATTTAGAAGAGTACAAGTATTTGAAATTGCTCAAATAAAAAGTATTTTTCAAAAAAAAAAAAAACCTTGTTAAGGCCTGACGGGACCCAAAAGAAAAAGAAAAAACCGTTTATTGTTATTTGTTTAAGGTTAAAAATGGAAGAAAAAAAGAAACTTAACCGGACGATCTGGTACATGATATACATACATACATCGTATAGTAGGTACTCTACAGTAAAATCAGGGTCTACATGCCCTTTTCTTTGTATTTTATTTTATTTTTTGATTTTTTAAAGATTTCAGGGTCTGCAGGGTTCAAGACCAGTCTCTGCTCCTTAAACCCTAAACCTCAAAATATCCGACTTGACAAGCAATTCTTCGTTGTTCCGCATCAGGACTTTATTTGGCCTCCGATTTGTGAGCCTCTTTCCTCCATCTGAGCTTTTCTGAGCCTAGTCTTATCTCCATCTTCTTCTTCTTCGTTTTTTTCCTTTTTGTTTGTATATAAATTAAAGTTTCAAGTCTTTTTCCTTTTCTCCAGAAATTAGTGAACAATGGCTGCAAATAGTGCTCCTCCTCCTCCTCCAGGAATCGACAAGGAACTGGTATCTTACCTTCCTGATTATATTGACCTCGATATCTGCTCATGCTGATGATTTTGGTTTTTTTTTTTTTTTTTTGGCTAATTAGTCGTGAATTTTGAGATATTGGTTTTAGAAATAGTCTGCGGAATCATAGAATTTACTCAGTGCTCAGCGTTGATTGTTTCAAGTAAAACTAAGCAGGAATTGGTTTATAACTTTATCATCTTTTTATGTGTATGACTTGGCAGATTTTGGGCATGGCAGAGAAGGAGATGGAATACAGGGTCGAATTATTTAACAAGTAAGGCCTTCCACATTGTATTATCTTCATCTCAATCCTAAACAGTTCTTGTTCTTATGTGGGATATAGGCAGATCAAACTTCGAACTTTTGCATTTATTCCCGAATTTAATTAAGTGGGAGGATCCATCATAAGCGAGCCTAGCGCGGCTTATTACACTTATTGACTGCTTAAGAGAACGAGCCGGAAGGCTAATTGATTTTAGGTACAGTTTTCTCTTGTTAGTGAAGAATCACCTCCTTTTCTTTACGATATGCTTACTTTCTTCTTTGCTCAAATGACTGAGAGTTTTCAATGGATTACCACAAGTGAGAATTTTGTTAGGTTATATGAGTATTATAAATTAGCTCTTTTTATTTTTTTGGTGATATTACATATAGAACTTTACTTCAAAATCTTGAGAAAAAAGAAAGAAAATGAAGGACTTAGATACCTTCTAGTCTGTTGCTTATTCAATAGATAATTATTCCTTTCATACTATGTTGAACCTGTAGATCCAGAAGCAGAAGGATTGTTATAAATTGGCAAGTGCCTGCTTTTAGAGTAGCTGATACTGTTCTTGATTAGAAAATTAGGTCTTCCAAGTACATATGCAACCTGATTTTTACTCGTCTTTTACTGTTGATCTTCCAGGCTTACACACACATGTTTTAACAAGTGTGTTGAGAAAAGGTATCGATTTTCGCCTTGTTTCGATTTCTTATCTATTGTTGATGAATATAGCTAATATAGCATGTTGAAGTTTCTGCTTTTCATTTCCTATTATGATGACACTTCTCTGGATTTGCAATTTTGAGCATGTTTCTCCTAAAGGTACAAGGAATCTGAGCTGAATATGGGAGAAAACAGCTGTATTGATCGCTGTGTTTCTAAGTACTGGCAGGTAACACACTGGATACTTTAATTTCACTCTCATATGTAAACTGAGGAAGCCATGCATCACTAAAAAAATTGACTGCTCGACTACCGGATGCAATCCTTGCATTTCAGCATATTGAATAAATATTGTTGCTGCAATTGTAGAAATTGCCAAATGATGAGCACCCTGTACGTTCCATGGTGTAGGAGATACGGTTGTGCTCTGATGACCTTTAGGAAATTTATCAGTGCCATGAATAGGAATTAGGAAGTGACTACTACAAGTTGAAGAGCCAAATGAAAGGGGTAGTTTCTGCTTTACAATTACTTTCAACTTGAAAAAGGAGAGGAAAAAGAAAGGGCTGGGGGTATGTAGTGGACGCTATAGGAAATGTTACACAAATTAATAAATACATGATCTTGTCTCTTAATTCTTCTTGTTCAGGTGACAAATCTGGTTGGACAACTGCTTGGTTCTGGTCGGCCTCCAATGTGAAGTCTGGTTGTTCTGAAATTACTCTGAAACATTTTTCTGCACATTTTCTATAGAATGCTCCTACCTGCTAACAAGGTGGAGATCGTGTTCCAGAAAAAAATCCAGTTGCTTTAGCATGAATTAGTGCTTAGTTGATGCTGCATCTAAGGCCATTTAAATTGTCTCACTAGTAGTTTTAATCTGAATTTTGGTTTACCATTTTGAGCCTATGCTGATGCATCTATCTTTGGTAGCATTACAGTTCAGTTAGAAGCTGACCAGCCTCTTCTGAAAGCCTGAAACCATGCCTATTGAGTATTAAGCGTGGTTGTTGAACCTTTATCTTTTTATTCTTCAAGCATTGGTCCAAATAAAAATGCCTTTCATTTGGTTTCTAAGTATTGCTTGTTACTGAATTGATTTAGTGGAGATTTCAAATTAGTCATAATACGTTTATTTGGCATTATGGAGATTTCAAATACCATTTCTTTTACTTCTTTGCTCCTAACTTCTCTTATTGTCATCGAAGCTGGCGGAATAATGATCCACTACACATATCTCAGATGAAACCCTCTCCTTAGCCAGCCCAACCCCTGTAAGTGTCCGAGGTGATGAAGCTCAACAAATTTGCTTTATATTCATTTGAAAAAAAAAAAGGAAAATAAAACTGGATGTACGAAAGCAGAATTATAGTTATCGATTTTGATAGATCATATATATTCGGAGTTAATATGTTAAAATTGCTTTTCAAATTAAGGGGGTAAATCAGCAAAAAAACAGCAAATATTGACGATCTTATGTCCTAAAAAATGTATGTGACAGTCTGAAAAATTGTAACTTGTTCGTCTGGGGTCTTGGGTTGGGGAGTTGATGGTGGGCTGCGAATATCGTAATGGAAAAGACCTGTCTGGATGCCGGGGAACAAGAAAGCTGATCCGAAATCTGGCATATCGAGCTTTGATAATATTTCACAGGGCCGGGCAATTGAACCGTTAATCTCATATCTCTTGCCCGGGCCTTAAAGCCCTCATTGTTTGGTCAGATCTAAAAGGTCCCCTACCAAAAACTAATTGTTGCTCTTCTGGCCTTATTGGATCGTCTTTACAAGAATGTCCCTTTACAACTGCACAGAGCCCCCAACTGGAATTCTTCTGCTCGATCAATTTTCAATGCAGTCAGATAATGCATCTGATGACTTGGCAACAAAGGCAAACATAAGACGTTCTTCCCAGTCAGCAAGTAAACACAGAAAATAATAGTCACTCGGTGTTGAATGAATCTTGTCTTGCAACCAGCTTTTTTATGCTGCAAACAACCAGCCAAACGGCATTTCTAAATTGCAAAACCTAGATACAAGGAGCATTTATAAGGCAAAGCCTAATTAATCTATACATTTTGCCAAATCCACTTCATCTTCTGTTTTCCATAGACGAGCCATCTTTAAGCGTCTCTTGTGCGTCGCTGTTCATTCCCAGGCTAAAGAGGGCAGCCGCTTGAAGATAAAAAGCAGTAGGCCAATCAGGGGATGTTACTTGGGCCTGCATAGCATCTGCAAGGGCTTCTTGTGGCCTGTTGTTCATCAAGTAACACAAACAGCGCCGGGCAAGGACTGTTGGGGATACCATATTCCCGCCCTCGATGAACTGCAGAGCAAAGCACATGAAAGATCTTCATAACCTATTGCGCCATATGACTGGAGCTAAATGCAATTTTATGAAGGTTTACTTACATCTGTATAACAACTAATGGCAGTTGCAAAGTCTTTAGCTCGAAATGCATTGTCGCCACGCTTTCTAGAGTTCAGGGTTTCCTGTATTTGGCTAGTCCACAGCTGAAATGAGAGCTGCAAAGAGAAAAAACTTGAATAAGAGAAATATGAGCAACAAATGAAACGAGCTACATTTTAGAAATTATATGAACTTAATAAAGAGTCAGCATATTAAAAGCACTCCATCTGATTCTGCATTTTGGGGAATAGGGATCGTAATTTCAATGGGCAGCCCTCTATATTCTTATCAGTTTTGATTGTGTCTCTCAAAGTTTGACTAAATACTCCTTTGAGTGTTATGGATTAAGATTTCCAAAAGATGGAGAAAGTTTCTGACTAAGCACATCTTGATGTTAAGAATTTCCTATCAGACGTGGTGAAGTTGATCCATTATGGCACAGTGTGGATAGATTTTTTAGTTAAACAAAATCACACTCTTCTGTCACTTGCCACTCTTAAACAGGTTCTCCAGAAGATTGAAACAACCCCCCCCCCACACCCCGAAGTGCAGAAGCGCATGCCGGAATAAAAACAATTTTTATATAATAATGATATAATACAAGAAAACACCAACAAGAAAATACCTTTAATTTTCAACAGACAATATGATGGATAAAGAAGCATGATTTCAAAACATAAATAGATTTTAGAGCTTTAACACTACTTTAGAACATGGTTTAGATCAAAAAGGGTGCTGCCACCAGGCGCAGGGGTTCCTCGAGAATTTTTTAGCTGGAAAAATGCAAGCAGTACATGTGCTACAAGAGTAAGCTGTGCAAAAGCTAACCTCATTTGCAACCCCCTCATCATCCTTGTATCCAACCTTCTCCAGTAACTCATGCATGGCAGTCAGATCTACTCGTGAGCAAGCCTCGCCAAGAGGTGATAATTTTGATGTCTGGACTGGAGATGAAGTTTCATGAGTGATTCCTAGCAAAATATGTGATGGCACCTGCAAAATTTTGCTAGTACATTCATCAAATCAGCATAAAAAGATATCTCAAACAGCATGATCAGCATCAGAATATTGAAATTTGCACCACATCTAAATTTGTTTATATCTGAATGACTTCAGTTAGAATGGAATAAGGCCTACATCTATCTCCTTTTGAAGTGGAGCAAGAGAGGTCACAAGAGACTTAGCATTCGGCCGGTCACGAGGTTCATACTGTAAACAACGTGAAGCTATTCGTACTAACTCTGCCCCATCATCATTTGAGAAATGACCCTCCAGACAAGAGTCCATCAGCATCTGTATGTTCTTCCCACGAATCAAGTCAAGAGCCTATAAAGGCAACAACTGTTATTTAGTTCTAGCATTCGCTCATCCAGAGAAATTTAAGGGATAGGATATAGTAACAGAATACATCAAAATAACTCTTTTTGTAATCTCCTGAATATAACGAGAGACTGACAATCTTTTCATTTAGCGACTCAGATGATGCATAATGTCGCGGAGTTATTTCTGGTCTATTCTTATTGCAATACCAAAAAACACAATTTTCACAAACTTCAGAATCAAGAAATTAGAAAGCACAATTACATGGCTTGGAGGAATATGTTTGCCGCTGAGGAGATCAAGCAATAGTGTGCCAAAACTGTAAACTACACTCTCAGCTGTAACTCTACCTGTCAAATTGAAAGGATGAGATCAGATCAAGCATCTATGAATATGAAGAACCCAATAATTTTCTCCTTCTGCGTTTTTCATTAGTGTGCTTAGCAACTTCACTTCTCAGTTGTTAATTTATGTGCTTAGCAACCTTTCTAAAAGCTCATTATAAGGTTCTATTTATGTTAAGAAAGAAAAATGTCAAGCATGCAGCCAATGAAAGGGGAGAAATTTGACCACTAATATCGGACATTACATGTATTTCTAGGAAAAGACACATTCCAAACTATCTAAATACACAAGTTCTGCTAATAAGGTAAAGACGAACATGAGATCTAGACGATGTCTAAGTAGCAAATTAGTTAAGCATCTACTTTGCATCGAATATAGACCATTATTTGCTAAAACTAAAAGCTCTTTTGGGGAATTACTCCAAGACCTGTCCTTAAATACTCTGGAGGAGTGAAAGCCAAGTTTGTGCTGTAGCTCTTTCCATCCCTGCTGTTCTTCATCAGGCCAAAGCAAGAAAGCCTGGGGTTAGCATCCTGTTGTGTGATCACTCACAGTAAGCTGTTGGCAGTCTGAAAAAATTCCATAAACTGACAAGACTGGAAGCTACATCAAATGAATGAAGAAAAGAAAGGAAGTACTTGATCAAATAAGATTCTATAGGCATTAAGGTCATGGTATAGTGCTCGCCCTTTGCTACTGCAATAGTCTAATGCTTCCGCCAGATGCAAAGCAACTCTCAACCTCATTGCCCATTTCAACGGTTGGGTTTCCCCTGTATCAGTTCATACAGAATCACAGAGTTAGCTATATCTCCAAATAAAAGCAATCTAACGCCAGGGAAGACTTATAGAGGTAAGTCAATTAGGCAAATAATCACTTCCAACACTTCACCTCCATCAGACAAGTTTAGCAAAAAGACACCAATAAGTAAAATAGACTCTAACCTTATCAAATTCTCAACATGGAAAGGCCATTACTATGAGACTATTACTCGGAGTTGGTACAACAAAGATTCAATCTTGGAGCAATAACTTTCCAACAAAATGCTACAAAGTTCTCATTAAGCCACAAGAAGTAACACAATTATCAGCATTGAAATCGACAGCATAATGCTAAAGATTCAAAAACAGCAAACTTACAATGAAATAAGTGTTTGGATAGAGTTTCATGAGGCATGAATTCGGCCACCAGCAACCTCTCATTTCCATCACAACAACACCCTATCAAATTGGCCAGCCTCTCACTCCTCAACTGCCCTACTGCCTTCGCCTCCTCCTAAGGAGTGCAATATCAAACAATCAAAGCGCGTACAAAGATAAGATAATATCACATTTGTGAAACACTGTAGCTGGGGACTTGCTCAAAAGAAGTAATAACAACCAGGAATTGCCGAGAATCCGGCCAGGCAGACTTATTGAAACGTTTGACAGCAATCCAAGAGCCGTCATCTTCAAGCTGCCCTTTGTAGACAACGTTGGGAGCTTTCTCTCCATGTTCTGATACAATGTTTTCAACTGAGAATCCTGAAGTCGCCACCTTCAGCTCGTCCAAACTGTATTCTTTAAATGCTGGCAATTTCATCCTCTCATTTTCTCCACATTTCTCTAAAACCCCAGAAGAAAAAACATCAGAAAAAGGGAACAAAGATTACATTTTTATACATTTAAGAGAGTTTAAAGAATTACCAAGATCAGAGGAATAAGGGACGTTGGATTTCAGGTTGGAAGGCCACCAGCAAAAGCCTAATTTAGAGCAGCGAGCTCCCATTGGAATGAAGACGAATAATACTGAAAAAACGAAACCAGCAATCAGGTCAAGAAAACAAACAGAAAGGAAGGAAGAGGTTTTGGGGAAATAAATTATATGTTTTTTCTGGGGTACAAGTCTTATATGGATGCAATGGAACCTGCTTGATTGTCTGAAACCCACCTCTCCCCTCTCTCTTTCACTCTTCTCTTGAACTAGTACAGGGTGAAGGCGAAGGAATGGGATGATGGTGATGGAAGTTCAGATGGAGGTGGAGTAGGCGGTGGGGAGATGGTTTTCGTTTTGGTTTGGTGTTCTTATAATA